GCCCCACGCCGCCGCGGATGGCGCGGCGGCGACGGGGGATGGGGCCCCGCCGTAGCCTCCGCCGTAGCCGCCGCCGCCGCCGCCGCCACCATACGCGCCGCTGCCACCGCCGCCGCCGTACCCGCCGCCACCGCCGCCGCCGCCGCCGCCCCTGAATCCGGGCCCCTCGTCTCCAGCCATCACGTGCTTGACGGTTGTCATGAAGAGCGCGCTCACGTTGCGCACGTTGTCAAAGCTGCTCGCGGGGGACACAGGACAAGATCATGATGTCAGCAAGGCGCGGCGGCGGGTGTGGAGCAGGGTCGCATCCGGTATGGGACAGAAAAACGGCCGCGCGGCGCAAACGCCCCCATGCCCTCTCGCGCCCGCCTCTGCAGCCACGAGCGGCGCCTGCATGCGGCCTTGGAGCAAGCAGGGAGCTCTTTTCCACAAGGGCCTCGGGGCTGCGGCGAAGGTTCGATCCCCGCCGCGCTCACTTTTTCAGGGCGAAGGTTTCGAGCACGTTGCACGCCATCGCAGGGCTGAGCTCCCCCAGGCGCTCAATGCAGCGGTGGTCAAGATCGCCTGGGCGCAGGGGGCCGCCACCCGTCAGAAACAGGGCATCGAGCTTGGCTTGCACCTGTGGCGGGGTTTCGGCAAGGATCCAGGGTTGAGAGGGGCCGTGCGATTGGGTGGGGGGTGGGTGCTTGTGCTGTGCCCGCAGCGGTGTTGGGGTTGCAGGCTGGGGTTGGGGGGCGGGCGTTCAGCTGGCAGAGCGCAGTGGGGCGGCCTGTGACAGCACCCGAGCAGTTGGGCTGCAGGGACATTGGAGAGATCGCGGCCGATACGCGACAGCTGCAGCATTCGGTGGGTTCCTGATGCAGGCCTCAGCCGAGGAAACTCATACATAAACGGACCCGCACAGCCCCGGCCCCGCCCCGCTCGCAGCCGCGCTTGCCTGCGGCGACAGCCCCGGCCCGCCCCCGCCCGCCGCCGCCCTTGGCGCCGGCGCCGGCGGCAACGCCACCGGCGCCGCCGTCGGCCGGGTGAAGCGGGCTGCGGCTGCGTCCGCCAGCAGGCGCCGCTGCGTCGGGTCTGCCGCGTTGGCCAGGCCGGCTGCCGCCAGGGCGCCAAGCAAATCCAGGGCTGCCGCGGCGTCGAGGCGGCGCAACGCAGCCAAGGCTGCAGAGCCCTCCTCGAGATCTTGCTCGGAGATCTGGGAAGTTCAAAAAGTTCGGAGGATTCATGGCGCGCGGCGGCTGCATTGAGGTTCACATTGGGTGCCTGGACTGCCAGCGGGCGGCTTGTTGAAAGCGCTTCAAGGCGCGGCAGGCGGAGGGCCCGCGCTGTGATAAGGGGGGCTTCAACATGCCCCCAGCTAAGCCCGTCGTTTCACGGCGCGTCGGTGTCTTGGCACATGACCGGCGGCAAAGCATCCCGGGTGTGAACTCGCAAACCGTTGCCCCATGCGCCCTGCCCTTGTGGTGCCCCGCCTGCCCACTGCCAATGGCTTGTGTGTTTCCACTGCACGAGTGCTTCTTGAAGGCTGCTGGGCGGGACCAGGGGAAAACTGCTGATGGCTTTGTGGTGGCGGCCTGCCAGCGCCGCGTGATCTGATGCCCCACCACCTCGCAGTAGTTTTGCCCTGGCACTGGCACCCGTGATCTGAGATCGCACTCACCGCGCCGCTCTCGATCACCGCGCTTATCCTATCGCGCACGGCCGGGTCCAAGTCTACGCGCGGGCGGGGGCGGGGGGCGAGCGCGGGCGCGCGGCGGGATCGGTTGCGACCGCGGCGGGGCGGAAGGGGTCGTGGGTTTGAGCCGTGGGCACGTGCGCTCCTGCGCGCGACCTCGCGTTTTGCGGCGCGCTTCATACACCCTCCGTGCAGATAGGCCGGCGGGCGCGCGCACCCAATGCAACGCGCGCGGTGTGGGCTGTGCATGCGAGCCCGCTAATCGCTGACTCCTCAATTCCGGCACCACACACTGTTCAGCATACTAGCAGGCCGCCAGGGGCAGCCCTGGGCATTTTGAGGCCATTGTCCGGACGCAGCACGGAAACAGGGCAAGGTGCAAAGGCCAAATGTAGAGATCGGACCTTGCAGGCGCAGCGACTTGGCCGGCCGGCCGGCGTCGCCATCAGCGGCGCCAGCGAGGCCGGCAGCGTCTGCAGTGCGCTTCTGCGCGTGCGGCACCGCCGCCGCCGCCGCGCCGTTTGCGCCATGCTGCGGGTCAATCGCGGTGGTTGTTCCCTGCGCGTCTGTCGCAGCTGAGGGCGGCTCATGCGCTGCGTCGGCCTGCTGCGTCTGCGCCGGGTCTCGAGCGGAGTCGGCCGCCACATCCGGCACAGCGGGCTCGGTCTCCCCAGACAGAGCGTTTGCGGCTGCGGCATTTACGCTTACGGGATCCTCCACCGCCTGTGGCCCTTCACCCGGGCCCTGTTGCTCAGACATGCGAGTGACAACGAAGTGATCTGAAAGGGGGTCTATGAAAAAGCTGCAGCTCTCTGCAAAGTTGATTAATTTAATAGAATGGTGTTCCTGGGGGTGAGGTCGACTCTGGGTACCCTCCGCACTGCTAGTCAGGTGTGCAATTTGAGTGCTTAGTGAGTGAGGCAGCCACAGAGTCAATGCGAGCGTTAGAGCACCCGATGTGAAGCGCGAATATTGCACACAATAATCCACAATATACACACGCAATTCTAGCGTGTGAGCACCCAGGGTCGCTCTTAGACGCTTACCCGTGTTGCTGCGCCTCCCTCAAATCAATCAAAGCAGCGCAAGCAGCAAGAGCAACGTGACATTGCCCAGATCTCGCAGCCCGCGGCCACCTGTGCACCACGCCCGCTCGCCCCGCCCGCACCGCTCGCGGCTCCAGGCGCGCCTAGTCGCCCTCATCCCGGGCAGGTAGCACCCGCGCCGCTCGCAAAGGCCACCCCGCGGCATCAGCACGGCCATCAGCGAGAGGCTCATCAAGTGACGCCCGAGCCAGCGCGATGGCTGAGCTGCTGCAGCGCGCGCGGGCGCTGCTGCCGCCACTGGAGGGCGGCCTGGAGGATCTGCTGCTGCCCCTCTACCAGGTCTGCACGTGGGAGGGAATCCTAGGGCCCCAGGCCTGATACAATACCCATCATCTGGCCGGGGCTTTCATTGCACAGAGGCCTGGCGACTGCGCACTAGAGAACTTGCGGCGAGGGCCGCATGGCGCAGCGCTTCTCGCTTCGGCACCGGCCACCCCCTCCCCTCTGATCACCAACACACCGGCACCCAATGACCCCGCGCCCCCACCCCCAGGGTATCGTCATCGTCGCCCTGCGCGTAGCCACCGAGAAGCTGCTCGTCCCGCCGCTCCGCCGCTACCTGAAGCACGCCCCCTCCTCGGAAAGCGCGAAGTCCCCCGAGCGCCGCGCTCACGAGGTTGTCGACAACGCGTTCCTCGTCGCCGTGATCGCGCCGCTGTCGCTGTGGGGGTGGTGGGTGCTGTTTCATCACAATGGCCCATGCACCCCCATGGCCACCGAGGGCTGCCTGGTCGGCTGGCCCAACCTCTCCATGACACGGGAGGTGCGCACAGGCAGAGCAGCCAGCCACCGCCCATCTGCAGCAGGCGTGGCGCTACCCCCTCTCTGCCCAGCCAGCACTTGCGCATGCGGGCCAGCCGTGGGTGTATGGGCATCAGTTGGGGCGACGGGTACTTCGGCTGTGCTGAGGGCATTCAATGAACATTTGGAGGACCTTGGGCGGAGCGTGCTCGGTCTCGTGCCACACCCTCTGCGACTGCGCCCGCAGCGTGCGCGTGCGTATTCAATACCTCTCGCGCATGCACTTTTTTGCGCACACAGGTATGCACAGGTACACATAGACTCACTCACGTGTGCACGCAGCCACACACACACACACACACACACGCACGCACACGCACGCATATACACACACACCAATTCATCCCCCCAGTTCCGCTGGTGCTGGCTGAGCATGGGCGGCCTCTACACAGCCGAGATGCTGGGCACTGCCCTGGGCGGCGTAGGGTTCAAGCTCAACCTGGAGATGGTGATACACCACCTGGTGACCATGGTGCTCATGGTGGGTCAGACATTGACAGGGGGTTGAATGCATTGGCTTTGGTACCGTGTTTAGGAGTTGGCGGATATGTCTTCAGTGATACCCAGCCTCGGCTTCGCTGGATGGGGGCGGCGGCAAGACGGCTGCAGCGAAGGGGCAACCCACCATTGCGAGTGACCAGTGCGTGCGCTGGTAGCCGCAGCGCGCTGCGGGGCCGTGGTCCAGACCAGGGGTTGACACAGAGCAGAGTGGCGTGTGGCGGGCCTCAAATTTGAGCAGTGTGAGCCTGCATCCCTGGTGGTACGCGTCCCTTGTTGCTTGGACACTCGCCTGCGACGCGCCGCGGCCCCACCTCTCCGCCTCCACAATTCTGCCCTAATCGATCCTACGCCGCCCATCCCTCCCCCCTCCCAAAAATGCACCTGGAACGACGCGATCCAGCTCTTTGGCTATTACGGCGGCCTCCACCGCTACGGCATGATGGCCACCACGGTGCTGGACTCCTCCAACACGCTGCTGCACGCCGCGAAGGCCGTCCACGCGACAGGCCTGCCGCAGCTTGTCCCTCTCCAGGTGAAAAGGGCCGTCGCTGCCGCGCCTTCACCCCCATTCCCCTCACGCCCTCTCAGCCGCCCTGCGGCACGCGTCAGATTGCAGCAACTTGCGCGCGCGCGCAGCTCCTACGAACCCGCAAACACCTGCATGTTTGACACTCAACCGCGCGGACTGTACACCGGACTGCACGCGCGCAGGACGCGCTGTTCAAGCTGTTTGCCCTCGTCTTCTTCGTCGTGCGCGTCGTCATGCCGCCCCCCACCATGCTGTACCCGGGAATTACCCACGGCCGCGTGCTGCCCACGAGGATGTACTACGTGACTAACGGCCTCATGTTTGTGATCTACGGGCTGCAGATTATGTGGTGGGTGGTCGGGTGCATGGCCACGCAACATCATGGGAACAAGCAGCAGTGGATTACACCATGCATGATAAAATCTTCCATAGCTGCAGCCTGAAATTGACCCTGATGAGCGCCCTTCCGACGGGTCCTGGCCTCCGTACGTGCCTCAGCTGGTACGCCATGCTCCCCTGGCTTGCCGTGCCTGCGTCCCCCTGCAGGTTCTATAAGATCGTGCGCATTGCCATGGGGGGCGACAGCAAGCCTGCAAAGAAGGCGGCCCCGGCCGCCGTCAAGGCCGACTGATGGCGGCTCAACGCAGGGGCGGGTGCTCGGGCTGCTTGCGTGGCCCTTAAACGCCAATCACGCTGGTTATCTTGCCATTTCCGGCCGGGTGCCTCAAAACGGCGCGTTTTTTCTTGTATCTGATTGTGCAAAATTCATGCCCATTTCAACACGCTAGTGCTGCAGAGGGTCTGAGCACTTGGTGCACAAACTTTGGGCTCCAGCACCCCCATGCCTTAGCCCTCACCTCCAGACGCCTGCGCTTGTTCGGGACGATTCTGCCCTGATGACTGCCCTGATTTTGCGCCCTCTGGGTTTCCGGCATTGATCATGAAAGCACCGCCTGCACCGCCAGTGGGTCGGAAGCAAGGTCGTGGGATGCCGCCACCCCGGGGCTGCCAAGGGGGAGCAGAAGTGGTGCTCAGCGCTGCACTGACACGCAATGTGTATGACAAAGGGCTGTCCTTTTGCCAGCGACGCGCTCCTCCGGCTTGCACACATCACACCAATTCAGCGGCTTAGCCAGACTTCTGCTTGCGCCATTTCCGACCCGGTTGGCGGCAGAGCGCCCAAGGATCTGCGGATTATGAGCATTCCCATCCACTGTCGTTGTAACAGCTTCTCTTCTTGCAGTCATGTTGTTCAGCGCGCCATGCATGCAGTTCAGGGTGCGTGCTTTGCAGCAGTAACGGCCCCACGCGCGGCCAGCAAGCCAGGCTGGCAGGGTGACATGCCAGCGGTTCACGCCTTGCACAACCAAGACCCAGACCGGTGACCAGCTTGCTCAATCCTCGTTTCAGCAACAAAGGAGGGTTTCATGCGCCGGCAAGGGGGCTCTCTTGCCAGTGTCAGGTTCAACTGGGTTTTGCAGTTGCATAATAAACCTTTGTGAAATATTTCTGTGGAGTGCATGCCATGCTTTCTGTGCCGCACATTGCGTGCCACAATGCGAGCACATGCCTCCAGCTACGCATATACACATAGGGTGTTTTGTTTTGAAGTGTCTTGTTTCAACAAATCGCGGCCACTTCATTCGTTGCACTTCCACTGGGAGTCAGTTGCTAAGGAGCTTGTTCCAAATGTGCCCCCTCACCACGAGACACCTTGGAGTGATACATCCTGACGGCATTCTTGCCGCCTGTGCATTGTCGACATTAACCACAGCAAGACGTGGCACACCCTTACAGGGCCGAAGTTGTGCACATTTCTGGAGTTGGGGAGCCCCTGGTGTCCTGCAGCGGCCGGCGACTCACCAGGCGGTCAAAGTGTCGTCACCACAGCAAAGTCTGCTTGATTACAAGAAGCCGAGAGCTTGATAATTGATCGTGAATCAAGCTTTAGCTTCGCGCATAGCCTCCCGGACAGCCTCAACATACGAAGAGCCCGAATCTCGCTTGGTCTGCCTCGACTTTGAACAAAGCGTGAGCAGGGATTGGATCTGGTCCAGCAATACTACCTACGTGGTCTTGTCTAGAGAGCGTAAACTATGCTGCAACTACGACTCACAAGCACTGCGCCTGCAATGAGCCCGCCTCGGACTCTCCAGGCGCCAGCCGCTCGCGCTGCGCAGCAGCACGCCGTGACAGCAGCTAGGCTCAACATTCAGCGAGGGCTTTCCAAACTACAGGATCGGCGGGGTCTGAGTACGGTGGCAGCGGCTGCCAAAGGCAAAGCGGCGGAAGCTAAAGAGCCGGCAGGCACCGCCCCCAAGACAGCGCGCCGCCGTTCGGCCCCTGCGGCGAGCGAGCGCGCCACGCCGGACGGCGCGCTGGCGGCAGCCAAGGCTGCGGCCAGCGGCGACGTGCGGCCGCTGCAACAGCTGATCGACCAGCTGGCGAGCGGCTCGGCCGCCGAGGCAGGAGCGGCGGCCAAGGAGCTTGTGAGTTGTGTGAAGTCGAGCGACGAACGGTGCAGGGCGGCGGCAAACTTGGGCGCCCTGAAGCTGCTGGTTGACCTGCTGGGCCAAGGCCAGCCAGACAGCCAGAGATTTGAGGCCGCAAGGGCGATTGACGGCATTGTTTGTGCTGGCAACGATCTGCGGGAGGCTGCGGCCGCCGCCGGCGCGCCCGCGGCGCTCGCCGCGCTGCTAGCGCCGGCGGCGGGCGCGTCCAAGGCGGTCGAGGCGGCGGCGGCTGAGGCGCTGGCAGAGGTTGCCGCATGGGACATGTCCGAGGTGGCGGCGGCGGCCAGTGCCGATGATGCCAGGCGCGAGGCGCAGCGCGCCGCTGCGATGGGCAAAGCCCTGATCAGGGCTCAAGGGCTCGGCGCCCTGGTGGGCGTGCTCGAAAGGAAGGGGTCATCTATCAGCCTCCAAACGCACGCGGCGCGGGGTGTGGCGAGCGCAGCAGCGCTGGGCATTGTCGCGCCCGGCGAGGCGGCGGCGCGCCTAGGCGCGCTGCTGCTAGGCGTGCTCAACGAGGGCGTCGCGGCCGCCGAGGAGCGCGGCCGCGCGCCCAAGAAGGGCGTCGAGGCGGCGCGCTGGGCGGCGGCGGGGCTCGCGGCGCTGCTGTCGGCGCCGGACGCCAACGACGCGCTTCGGCGGCGGCTCGCCGGCAGCGGTGGCATAGATACGGTCCCGCTGCTCGTCGCGCTGCTCGAGGCCCCGCCAAAGCCCGCCGCCGCGGCAGCCGCCGCCGCGCTGGGCGCATTCGCGCGCTGCGACGACCTGCGGCCGGCGATCATTCAGGCCGGCGCGCTGCCGCATCTGGTGTCGCTGCTCGTGCTGCAGCGTGCCAACTTTGATAAGGAGAGCCTGTCCGCCGCGGCGGCCGCTGCAGGCACGCTGGGGCACCTGGCAGAGGCTGGGGACGCGGTTCGCATGGCAATTGCAGAGGCGGGCGCCCTGCAGCCGCTCGCGGAGCTGGTCGAGCGGCTGAGCGGCGTCGAGTCCCCAGCCTCGGGCAGGCACTTGATTCTTGTTCTGCAGGCGTTGAGGGAGCTCATGAAATGCAGGCAGATTCACCAGGCGCTCGCTGATGCAGGCGTCGTCGCCGCAGCGCTGAAAGTGATCTCAGTGACGACGAAGGCCCGCGGCGGCGGCGACGACGGCCCGCAGGCCGCAGCAGCGTCGCTTATCGGCGACGCCGCGGCCGGCGGCGAGGGGCCGCTGCGGGGCGCGGTGATTGCGGAGCTGCCACCGCTCGTCGCGCGCCTCGCTGGCGCCAGCGGCGCAGCAGGCGCGCGTTGCGCGATGCGCGCGGTGGAGTGGCTGACGGATTGCTGCGAAGCGCTCGACGCGCCGCTGCTCGCGGCGGGCACCGCGCCGGCGCTGGTCGCGCGGCTGTCGGACGGCGGCGCGGAGGGCGGCGATGATGCTGCATGGGCAATCGACAACCTTGCGCGGTCTGGGGATGAGGCGTGCTCGGCGATCATGGCCTGCAGGCCGCTGTCCCGGCTGCTGGATCTGGCTCGGGGCGGCAGCGGCGCTGCGGTGTGTGCACTTGAAGGACTCATCACTGGGGATGGGCCAGCCGCGCGCGGGCGCGCACAGGCGGCGGCGGCTGCGGGAGCGGGGGCGGTGCTGAAGAGGATCATTGCAAGCGGCGCGGCCGACGAGGTGGCGAGGGACGCGGCCGAGGGAGCGCTGAACGCGCTGGCTGCTAGCGGCCAGCACGGCAGCAGCGGCAAGATTTGATGCTTGATGTTCGATGAGGGTTGTTAGCCACAACAGCTGTTGGTAGTTCGACATGTACACCTGGTGGTCTGATATGAGGTTCGTTGGTGTTATGAGACGCCAAATGCTGTTATTTGAGGATAACGATCCTGGCCATCTGTTCTTATTGAACGGTACTCGAGTCAGGCGGTGCTGCTATGGGTCTGAGTGCCACATACGGGCGAGGGTGGCAGCACCTACTGAAGGCTAGCACTGCAACAACAGTGATTTCTTACTGGTTCTTGAGGGCTCCCAGCAGCTCTTCCCCCCTACTTGGCGGGCAAAGATTAGGAAGCAAAGCTGCAAGCTGGAGGTCTGCGGGAACACCTAAACACAGAGAACGTGCCAAATTGGGACTGCCCCTTGGCGCGTGAGCAGTCCCAGTCATTCACTGGTCATAATGTATATCTGGAAAGCAACCAGATGTACGGTGACACAAGCAGCCAGAAAACATTATCATTTGACTGCCTACGGCAGATGCTGGGTGTGCGCCGCAGCGACCATCACAGCAGCGCATATATCTATGATCGTTGCGCAGAGCACCCCATTGGTAGCTACCTGTCTGTTAACAGGCTGCGCCAACTGGGTCACACGATGCGCATGACCCACACTCGTCTGCCCAAATTGGCGCTTTGGAGCGCCGCCCCCGGCCCGCGCCCTGTGGGACGGCCACGCGTGTCATGGTTTGACATAGCGAGGCGAGACTGTGCTGCCATAGGGATCGATGTCCCCATTCACCTAGACGACCGCTGCTCTGACCGCCCCGCTTGGACGAAGGCTTGCTTATCTCTCCTGCCAAGGAGGCGTGCGCCCTCTTACTAATTCCCGACTTGGCTGCACCCGCTTTCTCCTCTGGCCTTTACGGTTAGGGGCGTTACCCCTTTGGGGAGCCAGGGTTTTTCCCCTCGCTGCTGGAAAAGCGTGATGTGATGTAATGTAATGTAATGTAATGTAATGTAATGTAATGTAATATGTGCAGTACACGGTCACCGGGCCTTTGAGCACTGTAACAGTCGTGAGTGCCGTTTGCACTGCTTTTGATGCTGCGCTGACAGCGCCTGGTTACCAGGCCACGGTGGCACAGTAAGGCACGTGGTGGGGTGGCCCGCCAGGCTTTGTGCTTGCATGCATGCTATTGAGCCATGCTGGGATGTTGTTGAGGGAACCCACCCGTGGCAGGGTGGGTTCGTCAGCCCCCTTGACAACCCCCCCTGCTGGACCCCAGCGGGTGCGTCCAGCACGCCTGTCTGCCCGCTTTGCCTGGATATGTATGGCCTTGGCCTGCTCGAGCTGTGCCTTGTTATGGCCTACAAAACACCCCGCGCACGCACCACGAGTCCCGCTGCCGGAAAAGCCTGCCCTTTGCGCCCTGCCATGGAGGTGGCCAACCACATGACCAACACTGCCAAGGGGCCCGCCCCTCGTGATGCCTCGCTTACAAAGCCTTGTTCAAATCACTTGTGCCAGCAATCGACTTGATCTGATTGGTTCAGCTGCGTAGAGCAAGGGAGGTGGCTGTTTTCGTTGGCCGTGCTCCTCACGGCTTTGTCGTCACTTGGTCTGCCTCAAACTTGGGCGAAGCGTGAGCATGGCATCAAACCTTGATTTGTGGTCTCTTGCTAAACATGCTGCACCTACAACTGACGGCAAGCACTGCGCGCGCAATGAGGACTCTAGGGGCGCCAGCCGCTGCTGCAACAGCACCCAGACTCGACAGATGGCGCGAACTTTCCAAGCTGCAGGATCGGCCCCGTCGGCATGCAGCAGCAGCAGCAGCAGCAGCAGCAGCAGCAGCAGCAGCAGCAACAAAGGGGAGAGCGGCGGAGGCCAAACAATTGTCAGGCGCCACGCCAACAGTTGTTGCGCGCGCCGCACCGGACGGCCCGCTGGCGGCGGCCGAGGGGGCGGCGAGCGGCAAAACACAGCTGATACAGCAGCTGATTGCTCAGCTGCGGAGCGGCTCAGCTGATGAGGCGGAGGCGGCAATCTTGGACCTCGGGTTTCGGGTGAATACCAAAGACGAATACCGCAGAGAGGTGGCAGATTCAGATGCCATGTGGCACCTGGTACATCGGCTGAGGGCCGGGCTGTCGGCCAACGCAAAAGTCTCGGCCGTGATGATACTTGCCGACATAATGCGCACCGGCAACAAGATGCGACAGAGCGCGCCCGGCGCCGGCGTGCCCAGGGTACTCACCACCCTGCTCGAGCCGGGTGCGGGCGCGCCTCCGGAGCTGGAGGAGGTGGCCGTGGGGGCACTGGCCGAGCTTGCCTCGTGGGATGCGTCCGAGCCCGCGACGGACACCTCGCAGTATTTCGCACCTTATCACGGAATTGTCTGCGCCCTGGTCCAATACCCAGTGCTCAGCGTGCTGGCGCACGCGCTTGAGAAGAAAGGGTCATCGCTCACTCTCAAGGCTCACGCGGCGCGCGGGGTGCTGGCGCATGCAACGCTGGGGGTCCCCATGACTGGCAAGGATCAGGCGTACCTAGGCACGCTGCTGCTGCGGGCGCTGAAGGAGGGCGTTGCGGCTGTCGTCCAGAAGCATTACGTGTCAGACAAGGCCGTCGCATCGGTGCGCTGGGCAGCGGCAGCGCTCGCCGCGCTGCTGTCCGCGGAAGGCGCCGGCGTTGGACTGCGCCGGCAGCTCAGCAGCGACGGCGCAGATGCGGTCCCGCTACTCATCGCGCTGCTCGAGACGCCGAACAAGCCTGTCGCTGCAGACGCCGCAGCCGCTGCGGCGTTGGGCGCGCTGGCGCACTGCGATGAACTGCGGCTGGCGATCGTCGAGGCCGGCGCGCTGCCGCACCTGGTGGCCCTCCTCGTGCCGCGGTGGGCTCGCTTTGACGAGCAGAGCCTGCCCGCAGCCGCGGCCGCGGCGGACGCGCTGTGGCGCCTGGCCAAGGCCGGGGACAGTGTTCGCGTGGCGGTCGCAGAGGC